GTATATTGTGAAAATAAATGCCTATAGCACGTGCAGACAACAGTGCAACACCAATTCCTTTGTAGTCAACTCCAAAAATCCTGGAGGCTTTGGCTTCTAAAAAAGGATGACTAATTTTGATGAAAGATGGAAGGTTGCTTCCTGAAAACAGCATTATCAAAAATACGGACAGAACTTTAGCTCATCCAACACTTGCCCAGTAAAATTACTTCCAGAGGAGTAACAAGGCAATGGTCTTCAAAATGCATTTTTAACTGTTTGTGCTAGCCTTAGGTTTTTTTTCAATGCACCCAGCATTTGCAACATGTACATGCATTTCTGCATTAACTATTAACCTAACTTACCCTGGTAATAGAGCATTATTATCTACACATGCAAAGGACATGAGACCAGGAAGGGTAAAAAGAGAGACAGAAAAACCTAAGCAGGTGAGATTTCCCCAGGCCATTTACAAAACTGAGTAGGTATAGATGAATCTTCCCACCTCTGGATGAGTTCTACTCCAAACGTTACCCATTTTCAGTAAAAGTAAGATTCACTGCTTAATTATATCCTGCTGCTTCATCATCCTACACATGCATTTAATGGTAGCGCAAACTGAACTGAGCTATTACTTTCACATTGCATGAGACCTACATCACCCAGCAGGATCTTTATGTGACAGACTAAACAATCCAAGGAGCACTGAAGAACCTATTAAAAGTAAATTTCAACCCTCTCCAGACAGTACATCCAGAATTCCAAGCAGCACATGCATGCTTTTCTTCAAAGTACATACTAGATACCTATCTGTATCATTTTACATTAGTCATGGTTTTGGAGTTTTACAGGACAGTTGCTTGACTCCTGATGTGCAGTTGAACTAGCAGCCTTTAATACATGCAGGGAACTCTGGTTTGCTCAGCTTGGTCCTTTCTGCAGACAAATCCACACCCCAGATTCTGACACAAAGCACTAACCATTTCTGATCAGTCTATATAAAAACATTACAACCAGCTGAGGACCCCCCCCCCCCCCCAGTAACTTTTCTGGTCTCTGCATAATGCAGTGTATTTATTGTAAAGCCTCCTAGACTGTAATATGGCTAAAAACCAATACAGAAACAGCAGTGCAGAGAACTAAGAAGGGAAGGAACATCTAAATCTAATCCAGCTGTCAGCCAATTTCCTGCCTGATGCCCTCTGCAAGTGGCCAGTTTTCAAGATAAACTCATTCCTTACATAGATTAACGTAGCTGCTATGCAAATATACAATATGAAGTTCTAAATTAGCTGTATTTCGTTAGGTGACTAGAGAAAAATGTTACATTTCTTACACAGAGAGAATGTCTTTCAGAAAGGACAATGATATGTGAATAAATACATTAAACTTGGGAGTCAACTGTTCTGTATTAATCCAGACACAACCTGGTGCATCATTATATACGGATACAAATATCGGGCTTAATGTCATCCCTGTTAAAACCCCCAAATATCTATAATTCAAGCTGCAATATTTAAGATTTTGCTTTCTTACCTTCTAATAGCCCGGAAAAATGGTTATACTAGAAGTACGTCTTAGCACCTGTTCAGAGGTCAGACTACCACAGCAACATATACCATGAATGTTGCGGGGATTTTCTACCTCAGAACTCACAAATCAAAAATAGCTTAAGTATAATCTGAACGGAATGCAACAGCACAGGTTTATAAGAAAATACATAGGGATTTAAAATGACAAAGGAATATTCTTAAAGATTCTTAAAATACTGCTTGTCAATATCAATCTAAAAAGCAGAGTTTTAAATTGCCTCTTATACAGGAATACCTGTATTCCTGGTCATTGCTTGCTTGTTTCTCAAATACTTGAATAGCAGCTCATCTTATGCAAACAACGTAAAACAATGTAATAATGGATTTAGAAAAAAAATAATTTGAAAACACTCCAAAACCTGAAACAAACAAACAAACAAATCTGGTAGTCACAAATACTAGTTATTGATACAGTAATAGTAAGCAACATTTTACTACAGTCACGCAATTGGAAGAAAGATCTTAATGGCACAGTTTAGTATTACATCAGATTATTTCAGTGAAGACTAATAAATTAAATATTCAGACTGAAAAAAACATGATCTTGCTTTGAGGATTTACAATTATTGATATGATTTTTAAAAGCTACTTTTTATTTACCATTTTTAAAAACTCAACATTAGACTTTGCAGGATTAACTCCAACTTGAACTTAACTCTAAATTACTATTTTTCTAATGGTTTATCAATAATGTTGTTGCTTTCTAAAATAAAGCAATATCTCAGGAATAAGAAGTCTGCACTCCTTACTTCAGGTGGTAAAGCGTTCAGTTGAAGAGTACTCTCCAACAGATGAAGAGCTACATGAAGAGAGCACAATACATGCATCCCAATTCCAAATCTGCTACAAAAGCCACAGCTCAGCTTTAACACCCAGTTGTCTCATATGTTAAACATGGAGGATACTTACTTTGTTGTGAAAAGCTTTTTATAGTTAGACATAAGCATGACTGTGTTCAAGAATAGAGTATCTGAATTAGGAGTCTATGACACACAAAACCAGATAATGGACCGTACTACATTTACAATCACCAACTATATCTCATTGTGCCACAAGCTAAAAAGTATTTCAGTAAAAGTCTATGGTAATTAACTTAATGTCTGATATTTTTCAGGTTCATGAAGCCCTTCTCTATACATTAGCTACTACACACAATCTTGTACTTCTTTTTTCCTGCCTCACTGGCTTTTATACCCAGACACCGTATAATTGTCCTGTTTTAAGCTCCAATCACACGATCAGATCCACAGGAGAAGGTTTCAATGAAGCTGTAGCATAGAAATCACCGGGATGTGTGCTTGGGGGTCCCCTTGCACAAATCGGTTTACAAGATAAAAGATGCAGACTCTACAGTCTAGATGGTTTGCTTTATAATCTGTGTAATACAATAGAGCTGTGCTTGGAGGCATCTGGGTGATATTTAGGACAGATCAAACTACTGAAGTAAAAGTACAACAGAAACACAAGATTAATACCAGTGTCTAATTCTATGGATAACATACAGGCTGGATAAAAACTCAGTTTAGTAATAAGAAAACATTTCTCCATTTTATTTCTAGCTTGAATACACAGTCTAAAGTCAACAAAGGACAGAGTTATCAGTCTAATCCCATCTGCCTAAATCATAAGATTATTATTAACAGCTCTACTGGTGAGAAATGTAAAAAAACCACCAACAAACCAAAAACCAACCAAATAACATAAACCCTCCCCAATCTGTTTAAATTATTAATAAATAGTTGAACTACTGTGATTTGTCCCCTTCCATTTGCCAGTCTTTCACAAAGAAAATAAGAAAATGAATGTTCTTTTAACAGACACACAAAAAAATAATGTATTGTAAAAGACGAATAGAATGACAAAATGAACAGCTTGAAATTACTTATATTCATTTTTAAAACAAGGAAGTTTCAGTTTAATAGTACCCCTTCAAACAAGTCATTTAAACAGACATTATTACCATATAAAATCAAGATAATTATCTCCAAACCCAGAAACAATTACAAAAGAATGGGAGGGGCACAATGCATTTATGTATTATTTAAATAAAGGCCTTTCTCTAGACTCTTTCAGTAAATACATCAATATTTTGCCACATAGGTTCAAACCCTTCCTATACTTATCACAGGAGAATTCTAAAGCCCAAGTTTTTTCATGCTGCCTGTTACTAAATGTGTACATGCTTTGTACTATCCAGCCCCGGCACTTCCTTGGCGCTTCCCAACGAGGTGGTGTTGATACAGCTGTACTACAAACCTAACGCCCCTCTTCAGCTCGAGGCACACAACTACTCCCTCGTCTTCCGTGCCCGCACCAGCTCATGCTGAGGGAAAACCCCTTCCCCACCAGCTGTTTCTCCACCAGTAATCACATGGCTAAGGCTCTCCCTTGGAACACCTCCGGCACCACCCTCTCCCTCTCTAGGCCTCCTCCCCAGGGGCCAGCAGCCCCAGACGTGGCCTGGTGTCATTGTTTCTCGCTGTCCCCCAATCCCGTCCCTCCTCCCTTACCGCTGCCTGTCACCTGCTCCCTCCCTGCCGGCCGTCTGCTTCCAGGTCAGCTCAGCTCAGCTCGGCGCTTCGGCTCTGCCTATTCATCCTGCGAGTGGGAAGAAGAGCCCGCTGGGCGCCGCAGCGCCCTCGTCACCGCTGTCAGCATGGGGCAGTGTGCGGAACGTCCGCGCTCGGCGACGAGCGACGCTCTTCCTCTCGGCCCAGGGGCAGGGGCACGGGCACTGCCATAGGGCTCCGCAGCAAGACGAGAGGCCTCAGCCTCTCCGCGCACCCGCCCCGAGTCTCACACAACTAAGCAGATCCTCCGCTCGCATCCCCAAACCCATGCCACGCTCAGCCTGCAGCCCCACCTCCCTCAGCCCCCTCTGCCTCATCTCCCCAAAGAGCCTCCAAAGCTCCTCTACCCTCGCCGCCCCCGGCCTTCCCCCCCGGCAACACACACACCAGGCAATAAGGGAGGGGGGGACCCGGAGCGCACCCCGACAGCCTGCCGCCCCCTCCCGCCGCGGGCTGCGCCTCACCTAGGGCCACCTCGCAGGCTTTGCGCAGTTGGGAGTGATGCGCCTTCTTCACCTCCTTGTCGGCCAAGATCTTCTCCAGGGCCCGGGTCAGGAACATGTTTTTCGTCTTCTTCCCTTCATACATGGGCGCGATCGAGACGGGAGAGGAGGAGGAGGAGGAGGGGTGGGGTGGAGAATGAAGAGCGGGACACCGACCGCTCCCGCCGGGGGAGGGCTGCGAGGGGCCGGGGCAGGCCGAGCCAGGCGCTGGGGAAGGGCTCCCTCGGAGGGAGAGCCGCGGCTCTCCCCGGGGGGCGGCTGGGGTGGGCCCGGGCGGCAGCGACAGGCAACCCCCGCGGCTGAGGGAGGACGAAGCCTTCTTCTTCTCCTCCCCCCCGCTGCGTGCTATCGCGGACGGCGCCCGCGACGCGCTCAGTCCCTGAGCCGCCCCAGGCCCGCACCCGCCTCCATTAGCACTGGCAGCAGCGGCGGCGGCGGCGGCAGCAGCAGCAACAACCTGCCTTCGCCATGTTGGAAGGAAACGACGTCAGGGCCGCAGCCGCGCGGCTGCGGAGAGAGAGGAAGCGGCTGTTGTACCCCAGCCGGGCGGGCGGGCGGAGGGAAGCGGGCAAGCTGGGGAGCGCTCGCCTTCTGCCCGCCCCGCGGGAGCGCTACAGGTGGAGTAGACCCGCGGGAGGCGGTGGAGAGGGAGGTACGGAGATGGCTGCTGCTACCTGGAAACGGGTTGGAGGAGGAGAGGAAGGGCTTCCCTTCCGGGCCACTAGGGCTAGGAGGAGGAGGAAGAAGGTTCCCCTGGGAAGTGTCACCTGCCCCTGAAGGGGGGGCCCTGCCAGGGGTAGGGCAAGAGGCTTTCTCGCAGAGGATCTGCTGTCCCTCCCCTGGCAGCGGTCTCCCCTGACGGGAAAGCCCCCGGGGTTCCGCCTGACGGACGAAGTGAGGGGAGAGCAGCTCTCGTAATGAGAGTGCCGAGGGAGGAAGGAGCGCGTTAGAGTGCAGGACGCAACCAGGCTCCCTGCGCCCCTTCTCGGGGGCGCTCCCTCAGCCCCTCACCTCGCATTCCGGTGGGGCCCAGCCTTTGCCGTGTGGGAACAACGCGTCCAGTGCTTCTGGAGCCGTCTGTCCTCATCATTGCTGCCCGTCGCTCTCGGGCGCTGGAGGGACGCTTCACCCGTGAGTTCTCGTGGTTCCATCATCCCATCGCTGCCATCCTCTGCCTTTGGGACACAGTCATCCTACACTTCTCCATTGTATATGCATTAGGAGTACAAAGTATTAAAAAAAAAACAAAAAACACCAAACAAATTTGCACCTTCATTTACAACTAAACAGTGACTTCTGTGTTAGTAAATTAAGATTTTATTATTTTCTTTTGTAAAATCGATACTTTTTGTCTTCACTTGCTTTCTTTGGCTTTTTTCCTTCCCAGAGTGCCAAGGGGTAATTTCCTTATGCTTTGGTCAGGTCCAAGAAAAGCAGTGAAGTGGGCCCTGCCTAACTGTTCAGCAGCAAAAACATAATAGGGCAAGTTTTGCTTTCAGTGGTGATATAACATTATTTTAAAGTAGTATGTGGCACTAACTGAAGCCAGGTCCCTTACAGAAAAAAAACTACGTGATAGAATAAAATATTAATTAAAAATAATCTGGAAATATACTGAATTTCAGGCAGAGTGGGACAAGGCTGTAGCATCAGTGTGCAGAAAGCAGAGATGATTGTGGAAACCAGGGGCCTTCTCTGAGCTCAGAGGACGGAGAGCCAATGCATGGGAAGGAGGTTATCCCCAGTTAACTTCTCCTGTCTGTTCTCTGTTCCTTTGTTCCTTCTGCATCAGTTGGGACAACAGCCTTCCAAAGTTAAGCCTGATCCCTTCCTCACGGAGAATTTGAGAGAGTTGTACCAGGTTGTCATGCCACCATGCTAAGGCCTTGCAAGCAGCCTTGTGTTCTTGACTGACTAGTGTATTTGAGCACCTCTGTTTGCCTGCAATGCTATGGTTGTAGCTGAATCCATACAGGTAAAGCGATCCCAGGTAAAGAGGCAGCTAATGCTGCTCAGTATTGTTTTAATCAGTTTCCCAGATGAAAAATGATCTGTGCCAAAATGATTTGTTGCTTTACAGGTAACTATATCTGGACTTTTTAAGGAATAAAGTGGCATGGTGAATTCTGGTAAAGCTATAGGTGAATGCCAGGCCTGACAGATAGAGCAAGTGAAGATGAAGAACTTTTTCCTAATACCCATTCTAAACCTCCCCTGGAACAAGTTGAGGCCATTGCTCTCATCCAGTCGCTTGTTATTTTTTAGGACAGACCAACCCCTACCTTTCAGGTAGGTGCAGAGAGCAAAAAGGTCTCACCTCAGCCTCCTTTTCTACAAGCTGACCAACCCCAGTTGCCTCAGCCGCTTGTTATAGGACTTAGTCTCCAGACTCTTCACCAGCTTCACTGCCCTTCTCTGAATATACTCCAGCAAATCAGAATGTTTCTTGTAGTGAGGGTCCCAGAACTGAACACAGTATTCGACATGCAGCCTCACCAGTAGTGAGTACAGGGGGACAATCACTTCCCTAGTGCTGCTGGCCACACTATTTCTGCTACAAGCAAGGATGCTATTGGCCTTCTTGGCTGCCTGGACACACTGATGCCTCATGTTCAGTGTCTGTCAATCGGCATGGCCAGGTCCTTTTCTGCTAAGCATTTTTCCAACCACTCTTCCCCAAGCCTGTAGCGTTGCATGGGGTTGTTGTGGCTCTCACCTTGTTTCTTGTGTTGGTGCGGTTGTGAAACTGGCAGTCAGTCAGTTCGGCCCAGTAGTCCAGCCAAAGATCAGCCTCATACGAAAGTTTTCAGTGCGATCAGTGAATTGATCAGACTTGTCTGCATATTCAGTAACTCTTACCGAAGAAAGGATATGGGGAAATGTGGTCAGGGTGATGAGAAGAGCTGGTCTACTGCTCATGGTTGCACTGTCTTCATAAATCATCTTGATGAGCTTTGAAACAGCACAGTAGTAGTTAGATTGTGATCACTTTAAACTAGAATAAGATAGAACTGCCACTAAAAGAAGCAGTCCTTCTTCCTGCTCCTGCTTATATGTTTCTTGCTTCCTTGGTCAGTATAATCATTTACATTGTCATGTGATGAATTATGTCTGAATTATATTCAGAATTTAATTAGGTTGAAATTAATCTGACAAGAAACAGAGGATTTTTAATCTGGGTGTATTCCATATCCTGGTTCATCAGGCAACTTCACAAATACTTGTGTAGCTCAAGGGGATAACACCAGGACAGGAACAAGAAAATGGGCAGGAAGAGGGCAGACTTGCACTTTTTGGCAACAGTACCGGTTTATGCCAACTTAAAGTATTGTTTAAACTACTACTATTAATAAAAATTTTGTTCAGTATTTCACTGTGCAAAAAAAACTCTCAACCCTGTCTCTCCATGTGACCCCATATATAGATGGATGGATGGGTCAATAGATAGGACCAGTGTGTTAGTGCCAGTGTATATGATCCTTTAATTGTAGTGGCTCACTTGTCACTTTCGTTAGCTGCAGTTTAGTAGTTCACATTTGTTCCAATTCTGTTCTCATGTACCAGATGCAGATAATCAGTGCATGATGGATCAGGGTCCAGATGGATCTGGCAGATGGGAACCTGGAACAGGAGAGAAACAATGTTTCTGTTCTGCACCTGCAGGCACCTTGGTGAAGAAGTTTCTAAGTTTCTTACTGCATGCATAATGTTTAACTGGTCTGATGGTGGTTCTTGCTCATGTACTACTCATGTACTACTAAGGTACAAAGAAGGCATCCCTTTGTGGAGTCACAGGACTGCCACCCTTGTAAAAAAAAGTGCAGCAGAATTCAAAGTATCCACTGTATCCATTATGCAAAGTATCACAATCTGTCAAATGAAAACTAAGAGATACACTCACAATATGTACTTGAATATTTTAAGAGATTTGGTTTTTGGTTTGGTTTGGGTAGGGTTGGGGTTTTCTAAATAAATTCAGGAGCTGAAATTAACAGTTCATAATTTGTAGAGTGAATGTTACAAGAGGTTAAAACAGGCTGCAGTATATCTGCTGCTGCACTGAAAGAACAAAAAGCAAATATTTATTAGTTCAGGGAATATTGATCATTAGGTAATGCCTAGGTTGGTTTCAAACATTTGTACAAAAGCATATGACACCCTGGAGTGACCAATAACAAAATAAACATCCATCACTGTGAGGAAGCTCTTGCAAGGTGACAAATTTATTCCTTAAAGCTAAAATATACAGGCTCTTACTGTTTTGAAATACATTCTCAGTAGTACAGTTAAGTGAGGATACATCCTAGTAAAGCATTATATCTGTCAGTTGGTGACAGCTGCAGGAAAAATGTCAGATAACAGTGAAGAAAAAAAAAACCCACCTCTTGTAGTCAATGGAATAAAGTTTTGAATTGCGGCTGGAAACTCTGGAGGACATCAAACGTTCCCAGCTGTAGCTTGCACTTCTGTGCTGGAAGTTGTACTGGTGCATGTGCTGGAATGTGATCCTTTTTTGCTAGGATTTTTTCTGTGGGAATACATTTTATTCTAGCTTACCTACAGGAACTGTCAGCTTCTTTCTTCAGCACTTTGCTCCTGCTTATAGATTAATAATTCAGTTCCCAGATTCCATGGCATCTCAGCATGCCATTCCCTAATATTGTGAATGAAGAAGGAATACAAGTATCCATCTTAAACACAGAAGGAAAAATATTTTTTTAAAAAATGTTATATAGGGCTTCTTAAAAAGTTTCTTTAGTAATTTTTTGAACTTGAGGACTGATAATAGATATATCAACCATTAATTATCTGAGAAGGTGATTTTCTGAGATACCCTGTTGGAGAAAAGGTAGAGTTTCTTTTGGGGAACATAGAAATGAGTAGCACATCTTCATCCTGAACCAGGAACCTACTATATGGTTGTTGTATGTGAGGCTATGCAAATGTAAAGGTAAACCCAAGTCAGTATAGTGACTCCTTCATAATGGCAAACATTTCTGTCTCTGAATACCAAGAGTACAAAGTTCTGGCAACTTCCCGAGAGCCTTTCACTGCAAAAGAAGATGTATGGAGCATGTATGGCAAAGACAGCAATAAGAGCCACTGATTTATTGCTTCTCCTAGCCAGCTGCAGCAGATAAAATTGCTAAGGAACTGTTATTGGAATTTAAGGAGAAACTATTGAAAGGGGGGGGAGCCACAACCTGCCTTCCCTGTTTCTTGGAAAGTGCTGTCCCTACCATTACACTTTCCTAGATTACTGTGTGGGTGTGAGTCTGGTTAATTAGTTATCTCCCCAAGCACCTGTAATAGGAAGGACTTCCACAGTATATAGTTATCCCAAATTCTTAATCTCCAGTTTCAGTTTACAAAATAGGATTATTCTGACATGTTGCAAATTAGAAAAGTAATAAGTTTATTGAAAATGATGACTGTTCTATCTTTATATCCTAGCTTCAGACTCCTGCAGGTCTTTGTGACTGATATGGCATGACCAATGTAATGCGTGCCGAGTTGTTTTACAGATTAGGTCTTAAACATCCCAGCCCAGCTCCCAGCATATTGGGAGCATAAAGCATTAGTTTTAATCTAATTTTTATATGCTGAATGACACTGTTCCCCTTGATCTGAGGTGAATTCAGCATATCACTT